CGGTGCTTTCGCGTCTCAAGAACAGGTGTATCAGGATTTGGGTACGGAAGTCGTCGATTGCGCGTTCGAGGGGTATAACGCCTGCGTCTTCGCTTACGGTCAAACCGGAAGCGGAAAAACGTTCACGATGATGGGTTCAAATGTACGTCGTAATCAGAGTTGTCAATATCATCAGCACAATAATATTGTTATTATCCTTAGGAGAATCAAGGCTTGATACCTAGGATTTGCAAAGCTTTATTTGAGAGGATGTCGGTGGATTCGAAGAGAGGTACGACGCACAGGGTGCAGGTCAGCTATTTGGAGATCTACCAGGAGCGAGTTGCCGATCTTCTGAGGGGCAGAGACTCGAATTCTTTGAAGGTACGAGAGCATCCAAAGCGAGGACCGTACGTGCAAGGACTCACAACGTGTCTCGTAACTAATTACGGACATATACAAGAATGTATGAATAGGTACAGCTCTGCATATTTCTTATAAACGATCTATTTTACAATTGTGATTTCTGGTTTTAGGGGTAATTCTAATAGGACAACTGCAGCTACTAACATGAACGATGTGAGTAGCAGAAGTCACGCAATTTTCACGATAACGTTCGTCCAAGCTGGATATTGTGATGGAGTTCCAAGTGAAACTGTTTCTAAAGTAAGCATAGTTACATAAAATCTTAACGAAACAGCTCAATACTAAACTAAATAATTTAAGAATTAATTAGTTTTAATTTGATTCATACCCATCGAAGAATGCTTAACTTTTAAGCTATTACAGGTGTCAGACGTGTTGGAAAAAAGCATTTTTTTTTGTGTCATATTTGTGACATTTTTATTTAATATTATATTTTTCAGATACATTTAGTAGATCTGGCGGGTAGTGAACGCGCCGATGCGACTGGTGCAACTGGTCAACGGCTGAAGGAAGGTGCACACATCAATAAGTCTTTGGTCACGCTAGGATCTGTGATATCTGCGCTCGCCGAAGTCTCAATGGAGTCCGCAGCGAACGGCAATCGCAAGTCCGTGTTCATACCCTACAGAGACTCGGTCCTCACGTGGTTACTTAAAGATAGCCTCGGTGGTAACTCTAAGACAATCATGATTGCCGCAATAAGTCCTGCGGACTGCAATTACGGCGAAACGCTGAGCACCCTGCGCTACGCGAATCGAGCGAAGAACATCATCAACAAACCGACGGTGAACGAAGATCCAAACGTGAAGTTGATTCGGGAACTGCGGGACGAGATCACCAAGTTGAGGGCGTTGATGTTCAACGAACACAAGTCGGACGATATGCTTGCCCAATTACAGGAGAAGGAGGCGCGGGAGAAGGAGCTGACGGAGGAATGGGCCGGAAAGTGGCGCGAGGCGCAGGCCATCCTTCGAGAGCAAAAAGCGTTGGGGTTGAGGAAGGCGGGACCCGGGGTCGTACTGGATTCCGACAGACCTCATCTGGTTGCCATTGACGATGATCCCTTGAGTACAGGCGTCACACTGTACCATCTGAAGGAAGGTGAGACAACCATAGGGACGGAGGACTCTGAGGTTACTCAGGACATAATTTTGAGGGGTTCCGGTATGGAACCGCAACATTGCACAATCAATTTTGAGAATGGCGTTGCCATGTTATCGCCGATGAGCGGAGCTCAGGTCTGGCTCAACAATGTGTTGATCGAGTATCCTGCGAGGCTATCGCAAGGATGCATCATTTTCCTAGGGAGAGCTCACGTGTTCAGGTAAATTGATTAACGTATTCCGAAAGCAATGCATAAACATTTGCGAATATCATGCAGATTTAATGATCCGGCCGAAGCAGCTGAGATGAGGAAAGGCGAGAGGACACATCTATCTCGTATGAGTTTACTAAGTTGGTCTACACCAGATCTAGCCGCATCCACGGAGAATCTTCAAAGGTATTCCATCACAAATATGAAACTAGGAAAATAAATTCAATCATTAATTGCAGGTTGAACGGCGACGAACCAAGTGATATTGAAGTGCAACGTTTGACCTTAGTGAAGGAGAAAGAGATCTTCGAAAAGGAGCAAGAAGCTTTTGAAAAACGAAGGAAATCTCTAGAGGAAGCTCAAGCAAAATTGGAAGTGGAGAAAAGAGTGATGGAGGAGGAGCATGCCGCTCAAGTATGTGTACAATCCGATCATCTCTTATTTATATTAATTTTCTTTTGTATTTAGGCTCGACAATTGCAAGAAAATTGGCGCAATTTGACCGCGCAGCAGAAGCTCCGAGAACAGGAACTACAGAAGAAAGAGAACGAGTTGATTTCGCAGAGGGAGGAACTCGAGAACGAGAGGAGACGCATCATGGGGGAGGTATTTATTGTTGTCATCGTAATTTTCAATTATTTCGATTTGCTTTTTTGTTCATAACTTACTTAGGATTTTTTTTTGTATTTTCTTTTATTTTATTGTTTATTCAGATTGAGGACGATTATAAATTGTTGATGGGTGTTAAGGGTGAGATTGTGCTCAAGTTGAGAAATGCCTCAAAGATTATTAATTCCCATTTAAATGAGTTCAGTTTTCCCGAATCCTGTAGCAAAATCACTCTCCAGGTATTTTATTATTTAGTTTATATATTATTTTTATATATATATATTTTTGTGCGTTATTGTTACTACTAGTAGTTCCTTCTGTTATCTTAATTAAATCGGTATAAGTATATTTTGCTATATTTAAATAAAATCATATTTCTCGTGTAGGATTTAGCATCGAAATCAGATACATACTCGTTGTCCGATACGGAGTCGGATTTTTTGGTCGATTTGTTGAATGGAGTGAAAGGGGAGGCCATGCTGCAAGATTTGGTGAATCAACATGTAAGTTTTGAGTGTTCATATGCAGCGGATCATATCATCAACTGAATTCTATTCTATTTAAGAGAAGAGAATTGGCAGAGCTTCAAGAGGAATTAAAAAGGCGCGTCCAGGCGCTCTCAGATCGGAGAAACGCGGTCGAAGTGCTGGACAAGAAGTTGGTGAATTTAGTCGATGAACAACTCGAATTGGGAGTGCCTTCCAGCGAGAGCCAGCTACAGAGTTTGAAGGAATCTCTAGCCTCTCGTACCGTGCAGCAGATGCAAGAGATCGAGCAACGAAAACAGGCCTTAACATTGAACTTGAAAAGAATCAATTCCGTCCAAAGTCCGGGATCTTTGGATACCAATTGCAGCATGGATCGCGAGACATTGAGCAGCGATACCTATCACACAGCTGCGAGCGCCTGCTCTACTCATCAGATGCTCACCATCGAAGGGATCGAGAAGCTGATGAGCGATAGCGGCGTTGAGCTCCGACCCTCTTCACGGCCTCAGGATGAAAGCGATCTCTCCAGTAACGAGGACTATAAGGTACTGTATTGTTATCTCATTGAGATAAACAAAAATTGTATTTATAGATAACATCAGTTGTTGCAATTCTATCAATGTGTTGCGTTTCGTTGTAGGGTGGAGTAAGCGATTCCCAATCGAACAGCTCCATTGAGAATCGATCTCCGGTGATTAGAAAGAGGAGGAAAAATAACGACGCGCTCAGGTACCTTTCGCAACGTGTTTTGCAACAGAAGCAGCTCATCATAAGGAGTTTGGATGCTCACTGTCCAAAGCAGCAATTGGATGCTCAAATTGCAGTAAGTACTAGTATTTATACCTACAAAAATCTGTTTGAGTCCTATCAGTATATGCCAGAATTGAAAGACATGTGTATATCAAAAAATCATAAATTCATCCAATTGTAAATTCAAGGTAGCAAACGGCCGTACGGTAAGCGAATGTTCATTACTCAGTTCATGAATGGTTCGCACGAACGTACACGTATTTATGTGTATTATAAATGAGTTTATTAAAATGTTAAATCTGAAGGACTTTTCAAATAATGTATTTTATTTTGATAGGTATTACATGATCTACAAAAACAATATATGGCGCTAAAAGTTGGTTCTCCGTCGATCCTTTCTCCAGCGGCGGAGCATCCGCTGCAAGATTTAGACAATACGCCGAGTCCAATACGACCAATACACCGTGGATCTACCTCAGCCTTATATTCGCCGCCAATGCCTGTGAGTGAATTTATTTTTCCTCCAATTAATAAACAAAAGTTTTGCTCATCTATTTTATGCTTTCAGTTTCAGAACAATCATCCTTACAATACGCTTTACAGATCGATGCCTTCAATAACGACAGAAGCAGACAACGAAAACATCGTTTCCATCGGAATGTACTGCATACGTGGCACCGGTTCTCAAACGCATTACGAGTACGAAGTTCGTATAACGACGTCCGACGAAAGGTGGAGCGTTCTCAGACGATACAGAAGGTTCAGGGATCTGCATATTGCGATGAAAAGCCGTTACGGCGAAAAGGTAAATGATTCCATCAACATCAATATCTCTATTAATAATAATAATTGATGTTCCTCTTCTAAGGTCGCACAAATACCGTTCCCATCGAGACAGCTCTTCGCCAACAAAGAGACCGTTGCACAATCCAGGAAAAAGCAGCTCGAAATCTACCTGAGACGTCTGATCGACGAATGCAAAACGCATCCTTCGTGTCCGATGACTTACAACGGTCCAATAACCCGAGCTTCCTTAGTAAGTTTTTCTCCGTTCTTCAGAAGAGGCGTATTCGAGAACGGCAAGTACGGAACCAGTTAGTATACGTTGAAACTCTCCCGCCACCTGTTACCTCTATACCTAATATACTTATGTACAGTGAAATCTTACTCTTCCCAATATCTACGATGCAACAAGCCAGTTAGAAATTGAAAGGAAATCCGATTTATTTTATTTGTTTTTTTTCAATAATTTAACTTCTTCTATTCTTCGGTTGTTGGGATATTCATTTAAAAAAAAACTGCATATACATATAGTTTTCTTTTATTTAAGACTGCACTTTACGTAACTTATTTTTTAAAATATTTAGTTTATAGATAATGTAAAATATTGTTTATTTTTAATTGCTTAAAGCGAAGCTAATAATAATAATATTTTTGCTAGAAGTGAATGTTTTTAAAGAGAAAAAAAAATCTATATTTTTGCCGCGAAATTAAATACAATCATTTTGTATTTCTTGATGAAAAACGCTTTATAGCAAATATACACGAGTGTGTATATTTTATGTAAGCAAGTGATTTCGTGATTCGTGCAGTATTTTGGATTTGACGAGGATGTGAGAACAGTACAAAAAAAAAATAAGGATTTTGATTTAATTTAAAGTTCGGTACTAAAACTGATAACGGTGCAATTGGAAAATTATATACGAAAAGCGATTATTTTTGTTAAAGGAGAGAAAACATGGAATTATGTGATATATATAAATGTTTAGTTGGTACTAATCAATTTTTCTTAGTGTGATTTATATATTTTTTTTATTATTATTATTATGATCGATAATATATAAAAAGATTGTGGAATTCCGTTCGAACGAAAAAAAAAAGAGAAAATAAATTGGTTCAGAGGCAAAACTGTTTTCGGTTCGTTGCGTGCACATTGTACTGCCTAAGTTTTTTTCTTTCCCTTGTACTAAACTTGTATTAAGTGAACAAACTTCGATGTCAATAAAGATTTATATTTACTGTTGTACCCTAGGTGTTTGTTTGTTTGTTTCTTGTTGCTTCCTGTCTTTTCTATCATTTAATACGAAGTGCTTCGTTAATTGATCTACAATACTTTGCAATTGTTTGCTAATGAACTAATTTAGATCTAATCGAGCACGCCGAGACTATCGTAAAATGGTAGAGTGTGCTTGAGAACGTTCTTGTAAGTTTCGTTGGTGTAGCAATGTTCTCGGAAACTTCCTGGTCCTTCGTTGTGCGCTAAATCATCGAAAGTCGCGTCTTTACGTTGAGAAGCTTTGACCAGAGGAGTGACAACTGCTGAAGCCATAACACCTAAGAACCTCATAGAATTCAAAAGAAACTGATCTGAAATATGAAATATATTGATTTACCATAAAACGCCCTCGCCTCGAAGTCACATTTAAACTCTTTCATGGTAGGAACGTCACTCAAGGGATATTTCAGTGCGGCTAATGTCGACAGAAGTTGGCTGTAGTATGTGTCCAACAGTTGGTCGATTTTGTCTCTGACCTCGTTTGCTGGACTGGTAGCGATGAAATAGTGCAAATCGACTGCCGGGCTCGAGTATTTCACCAGTTGGAAATCCACCTGAAATACGAACGTTTCTCAACAATGTTTCGATTCGATTCGGTTCGAATGTGGACGACTTACGAATTTCAGATCTTTGAGTTTGCCGTTTTCGTGGTACGAGAAAAGCATGTTGTTCGCCCACATATCGCCGTGATTCAACACGTTGAATCCATTCAACTTCTTCGTTCCAGCTTCGATCCCTTTCTTAACGCATCCATCGCCGAATTTCTTCAGTTTTAAACCATATTTTTCGTAGCCTAAAACATAATTCAACGAAAGTTTTTTTTTTCATTCCGTTTCATCCAAATTACTTAATTATCAGAAGCTTTCACTCGTGATCTATCTAAATTTCTATAAATAGTTCAGCAACTAATTAAATACCAAAAACGAGGATGAGGACTCACAGACAAGCTCTTAACAATTACAAAAATAATAATCACCTGGCGAAGCTAAGCAAACTTCAATTAACGATTTGAATCCTTTGCTTATCCAATCAACAGAAACGTCATCGAAAGTGAACAAACCGTTTCTGTAATTTTCCACCGTTGATGGATCCTACGAAAAAGAAAAAAAAATCATTATATAATATTTAAAACAATTTATGTGAAATAACAATTAGTTTGCTTCAAGTATTTTATTCAAAAGCTGTAAATTATCCGGTCTGTGGTTATTTTCTTTGATAAATCAACATGGGAACTTTCAGTCCACCAAATGACTTACCGCAAACCGAATCTTTTACTTAGATAAAGAATGACATTGTACACATTTTAATCGTTAATTTATTTACATTTTTAATTTTTGCCATTGATACTTGATACAAATTAACATTAATTTTGTGACCTCAAATGTTGTTCAATCAATTGGATTATAACAATCATATTTTGGTATTTTTTTTAGGTAACATCTACAAATATTTACTGAATTTGTAGACATAAAAAGATGATGTGAAAACTTTATATACTTCTTTTTAATTTTACCTTAATATTTCCCGTTTCCTTATTTATATCTCAAAGATTAGGAAATTTTCAGAAATATATATATCGTATTTGAAAAAGATATAATATTTTATTAAATTTCTATTTACGACCAAAAATGAGTATAGAACAGAAGAAGAAACCTTTAAATAGTTTAACACTACATAATCAGTTCACGAATGTAATTTAGTAATTATTTTCTTGTTCATAATTAAGTTTTTTTTTCTTCTATAATGAGTATTTTATTGAAAACTAATTTATGAATGCAATTCACAACTTATTTCCATGTTCAAATGATAATTTCCTTTCAATTCACTAATATAATTTCCATTCTGACAGAATTTATAAGGTTTTTCGTCAAAAACTTTTCTAGCTGGTTTTGAATTTCGACTAAAAATTACAATTTCTCGCAGTTTTATTACTCATATATCGGAACAGTTTATGTAACTAAGCTTCAAAAAAAAACCTTCGTAGATAGTTGATATTTTTAATATCTCTACTAATTCACGTATAGTACGGGTTATTATTGATTAATGTCTTGATTTCATTATTACTAGCAGTTCGAAAACTATAATAGATAGAATGAATCCAATATATGCATATGAAAGCTGAATGTTTGGGGAATCCAGCAAGTATAAATACATTCCTGTGCTCTTATCCATATTGCTGTAATACGCGTTCAAAGTTGAAAAATTAAAATTAGAACGTTCGAAAAACAGTGGTTTCACATTTCGTTGATTTCCTCAAAAACTATAACAGATATAATGAATCCAATATATGATTATGAAAGCTGAATGTTTGGGGAATCCAGCAAGTATAGATAGATTCCTGTGCTCTTATCCATATTGCTCCATTGCATCCATTTTTATAATCAATAAATCAATGTTTGCAAGTGTATAAATAATTATTGTATATGTGAAGTGGGGTTCTTGGATCATCTCTTCATTAAGTATGATAGTGTTCTAATTTTTATTTTTCTTTTTACCACATTCATAAGGCTTGATATCTATGTCAGATGATAGATTGCTTTAATATCAATAAAATGAATAAATTTGAAAATTATAATTTTCTAAACTCAAAAATAGTTTCCGCGTAAAATTATATAAAAAATGGAAAATTCTAATTTAATTGCAAGAAAATATTAAAAAGTAGAATTTTTCATTATTTTAATTAATATAAAGAAATTTTACATTGATTACAACGAAAATCTAGGTTAAATAAGAAAGAAAATATCTAGAGATTATCACAAAATTCAAATTTTATTATGCATAAATGAATTCAATTTTTTTTGTTTTTAATACGAAAGTTATTTACAATTTATGAATATGTACATTACTTTAATTAACAAATCTTACATAAGGGAATAATGATTTTTTTTACTTATATTTATAGACTTTTTTTTATATATGTACAATTTGGATTTGGTATGTAAAAAGAAATAAACATTGACTG